GCCCAGATCCAGAAGGAACTCGTCGCCTTCTGGGGTCGCCAGCCACTCCTTGGCTACCTCCACCGCCGCTCTCACATCCGCCTCGAAGGCCGCCGACTTCTTGTAATCTTCGACGGAGGTCGCGGCGATCGTTGCCACCTTATCCCTCTCCTCCTCCCATTGACAGGTAATCCTCAGCAGCTCGGAGTTGTGCACCTCCACCATCTTGAGGTGCTTCGCCTGCTCTTCCAGGAAAGCCTCCTCTGTTTGGCGCAGCTTGAGAACCATGGACCGCATCTCGGTCCTAAAGTTCTGGAGCCGCTTGCCCATCTCCATCTGAAAGGTGAGGTTCTGCGCAGTTGTCACGAGTCAGACAAGGAAAAGAAAGAGCGGAGAATAGGAGCCGAGTCAGTGACACTTACGCGGTAAGATTGGCGAAGCGAGGCCTCGATGATATACCCGTCCCCCAAAGCTTGCGTCGCCGCCACGTCATTAGGCAGGAGAACGTCGGCACACCACTTGCGGACCGAGGTGGCGCCCATCCAGATTTGGGCATCGGCATCCACCTCGTGGCACAGCTTGATCTTTTTCGGAGTCGGCCCCTCCGTGTGCTCGGCAGGGCGCTTGGAGCTTGGGCTCTCAGTCGAAGGAGGAGGTGGCTGCCGAGTGGGCGACACCACGGGCGATGGCGTGAGATCGACCACGTTGTGAGAGGATGGAGGAGCCGGCCGAATCAACGGCGACGGCTGAGAGGAAGAAGCGGCGGCGGCACCGGTGGAACGCTGCGTCAAGCGACGCCTCATCTTTTCAGCCCTGTCCGCCATCTCTGGAGTCGGTGCAACGGCCTCGTCGGAGCTGGAGGAGTCAGAATCGTACGGACCTGCAAGAAAACCGCATAGTTGTGAGCGCTTCGAGTTAAAATAAAAAATAAAGAAGTAGGAGTGAGTTGAGAACGGGGTAAAAAAGACGCTACCAATGGTGGCCGCGCCCTCCGGCAGTAGGCCATGCTTGGCCATGGCCCGGACCCGGGACCAATACTTGACCGAGTACGGCCCCAGGCTCTTCAAGAACTCGCCGCCCTGGACAGCATCTTCCGTAAAGACGGCATGCCGAGAGCAAGGCTTGAAGAGAGTCGCCGGCCACAGGGTCGGAAAAGAGAAGGAAGAAGAGCGGGGTCGGACGAAAAAGTAAAGAGGCTTCCACTCTTTGATCGAGTCGGATAACCCCTCGAAAAGTTGCCGCCCCGGACGGGCGGCGACTTGAACGAAGCCAGGCGAGTGAGAGCCGACTTTGTTCACGGTAAAGAGGAACCGGAACAAGTCTAGATCCAGCTCGCACTGCCACCAATGGGAGAGGTTAATGAAGCTGGTAAGAAGGCGGTGCGAATTGGGCACTAACTGGCCCGGGACCAGGTTATAGTGCCGGAAAAGAAGTGAAAGAAATGGGTGAGGAGGCACTCGGAAGCCGAATGCGACCGAATGCAGGTGAATGCCCACAAAACCCTCCGGCGGGTTATGGATGGGCCGACCCTCCGCCGCGACAACCAGGGCCGAAGGGCCAAGCAAAAAACGGGCCATATCAAGGTCCGCTGCCGTGGCACTCGACGGGAGACCGGACGGCCTGACTATCGAGTCGAATTTGCCTCGCGGCCGTTCGACGCCGTCCGGCAGAGCCGCCACCGTGCTTAGCGGGGCTGGGCTCATCGGAGTGGCCGCCCCAGAAGAAGAAGGGGTTGGAAAAGAAGAAGAAGACACCGCCTGGAAGCCTGCCGGCATTTCCAGACGGCGGACAACAGAGGAAGAAGAAGAGGACGACGGCGAGGTCCCCGCCGGATTGTCAAAAGACTGACGGCGGGTGGAAGAAGAATAAGAGGAGGAAGACATTACTTACAGATCTGAGTTGAGGCTGGGAAGACGATGAAAGAGCAAAGAAGCTTGGGTGGAAACTTGAAGAAGAAGAATAGAGGAGAGGAGCCATTTAAAGGAAAGGGGAAGCCCGGGAAGCCGCCACGCGGCGCCTCCTCAGTGGAGGAATCGGAGGCGACAAGACATCGAAAGGACGCCGCATTTAATGCCTCGATAGACGGGGCGACGGTTCAGGTCTAGGGCTAGCCTGCAAGCGGCGCGTCTACCCTAGACCGAGGCTGGATAGCTGTGACCCGGCCTGCTAAGCCGAAAGCCCATCAAGGCCGAAGCCATGGGGGCCCACCAAGATCATGCTGGAAGTTTCTAGAAAGGACCCGGCTGGGTCCGGCCAACTGAAGGGCCCGGACAAGTTTCTGGTCACGAGGTCGGCTGATGGATTCGGCGAGTCCCTCGCCTAAGGGGATCAGTCGGACAAATTCTAAGAGCCGGTCATGATAACCGGGGGTCGGCCAAAAGACATGCGAAACCAAGAGTCGAACATAAAAACATGATTTTATTCCATGAAACAGGGAGTACAAGGCCGGGGACTCGGCCACACACATTACAAGGAAAAGACGGGCCTAGGGCTTAGCTTCTTTCTCCTTCGCATGACGCACCGGCTGCGGACCCTCCAGGAAGTAGTGGGGACGGAAGGGCAAAGGACTCGGCTCAGGCTCGGGCTCGGGCAGTTCATCCAGATACACTCCGGGCTTCCCATCAACTATCATCCGCAGGGGCCTTTCCAGAGCACTCGGCGACATAGCTATGCCAAAAAGCGGAGGAGCCTCCCACTCTATGTCCTCCTCCGGTTCCGGGTCCTCCACCACAGGTTCCATCTCGGCGTCATCCGGCTCTACGATCATCGGGTCAAGCATGTCGGGAGGCACCACGATAGGGTCAGAGTTGGAGTCGCCCACCAGGTGCCCTCTATCAGCCGCCCTTTTCTGCCGGAGCTCCTCCAGCCGGGCGTGCTCCTTGTTGCGAATAGACCAGCGGCGATCACCGTCTCTGAAGCTCATGGCTTGAAGTTTTGAAATGAGGAATGATGAGAAACATAGAGCCACCAAGAGCCCTTATATAGAGCCTCGAGGGGGCGATAACCCAGGCGCAAATCACGGAGGGAATCATAACTGACGTATGGGCGGTGCGAATCTCTGTCAGAGATTAATCCCATCAAATTAGCTCGGGAAGGGGGAGATTCGCACGCTAGACTGAAAAGCCTGACTCGCCCTAGGAGGCGGAATGCCTTACAGGTGTCAAACGAAGGGAGGACTCGACATGATGGCCGACTCCTCAACCATTCAGCCGGACGAATGCACTAACAACACGAAAGAAGAAGCAGAGTGCAAAGGGTGTTTTATTATAATAAGAGGAGGTGTAGGTTACATGGAGCTTATTACAGCGAGAGTAAGCAAATGCTCCTAGAAGACTACCCCCCTAGAATATAAGGCCAACCCCGGCCTACGTGATCACTCGCCCGGCGAAGAGGAGTTGCTCCCGAAGAACCCTCCCGATGGTCCAGGAGGGGATGGGCAAAGCGAGTCCCAGAAGGCCGGCATGAGTGGTGGCACGATCAGTTCTTCATCGTCCGGGTACATCTCCTGGTAGCGGACGTAATCTTCCTCGTTCATCAGCCCCGTAATTGGACCATCCAGGTCGTCCAGAGGGATGGAGAAGGTCATACAGAAGGTCAGTTGCTCCGGGACAGGTACATCAACGACGGTTCCACCCGGGGAAGTCACTCGAGCGGTCGCCGGAGGGGGAGAAGGGCGAGAAGACGGAGCGGCTTCACGTCGAGCAGGAGTCGGCGGACGAAGAGCCGAAGAGGCAGCGCCAACAGGAGATCTTTGGGGGGCTGGACGAGGAGCCTTCTTCTTGGGCTCCCTTTCGGGCCGAGTCCGTTTTGAGGGCAACGGGCGCCAGGGCGACCCGAAGTCAATTCGTTTCCCTTTCAATGGTGAGCGACCCATGAGGAGTTAGTGAGTAAGGTGAAGAGCAGCTAAGGACATTTATAGGAGGTAGGCCAAGTCGAGCAGATTTGAACGGTCCCGCGAGATCCGGGAGATAGCGGATAATCTGGGCTATTCATGAGTCATTCAAGGCGTGGATGCGGTGAGCCGGATAAGGAGACGGTTACTACTTTTCCAAACCCAGGTTGGTGGACCGGGTGCGGAAAAGTGAGGGACTAGTTGATGGGGTGAGAACACCGGCCCAAGAAAAGAGGGCCCAAAGAGGAAAGACCAGAGAGAAGGATGGGCTGACACGAGGCAGGCCTGGAGAGTGAGTGGGCCGAGTCCAGGAGTCGGCCCAGGCCCAAATGGAAGGCCCAGGCCAGGGCTATGAAGGACGACCCAACCTGAGCATGGGCCGGAGACGAGGAGTCGGTCCGGGCCCAACCCAGAGAAAGACTCAGTGCAGAGAGCCGTTGAGGGAGCCTCCGAAGAAGTTAAGACGAGGAACCGTTGAGGCATTAAAGGCCGGACTCGGTCCGCTGGTTACAAGCTAGAAAGAGCCGTTGGTAGACCCAGTAACGTCACTCAACGGCTCGGCACCTTGAAAGCAGCCTTGAAGTCGGCCATTATGGGCCTTTAAGTCAGTGAGGGAGGAGCCACTATAAAAGGGCTCCTCCACCCTTGTAAGAGGGGGGGGGGGGGGGGGGGAGAACCCGGAGAGGGAATACAAAGTATTATTAGCATCGGGTTTCATTGAAATTTAGACTTTTTGTGAAAGGTGTATCCTCCAGCTGAAAGGTTGTGTTGGACCTCCTTGGGCCCGAAAACCCAAAAACCATCAATTATTATTATTATTATTATTATTATTATTATTATTATTATTATTATTATTATTATTATTATTATTATTACAACAACTATTATATATCATCATCATCATCGTCATATCAAGTGATTAATACTCAAAACAAAATAGTCATATAAATAACAAACTTTTGTAAAGAACATTTAACAATATTCAAAAGAAGCATAACATATGTTATTTTTAACAAAATACTCAAAACAATCCAATGCAAGTTACAATGTTCATAAAATGATTAATTGATAGCAAGGAATCTTCTGATCCATTGTAGTCTTCGATCAGGATCAAGACTGAGAAAGAAAGCTACTTTATTAGGATGATCAGTGAGCTTAAACGAAACAAGGTCCATTTCATCATTTGTAAACCATCAACCTCTTTTAATGCACGTTCAAGCTTCTGAAACATATCCATATCACGATCATATTGAAGACCATCAGACAGATTCTTACCAACCTCTGACATTGTATTGCTTATTAGTATTCCATCTCATTTCTAATAAAATTATGCAGCAAACAACATGCAAGTATAATTCTATTATGTATTCTAACAGGATAAAATGATGGGCTTCTAAGTATAGCCCATCTCATTTTCAATAATCCAAAACAGCGTTCTATGACATTACGAGCAGCTGCATGTTTCATATTAAAGAATTCTTGAGGAGTTGTCGGTTGATGACCTTGACGCCATTCATTTAAGTGGTATCTTTGACCTCTAAATGGTGCCAAAAATCCCTCACTATTAGCATATCCTCCGTCAACTAAGTAGTAACAACCTAGAAACATAAGTTTATAGTTTAATACGAATGCATATTATATTACATGATAATTGGAATGTAATATTATAATGCTTACCATTAGGGACCTTAAGTGGATGTCTTCTAGATAATGCATCCCGAAGAACTCTACTGTCTGCTACAGATCCTTCCCATCCCGGAAGAACATACACAAATTGCATATTAGGTGTACATACACCTAATACATTTGTTGCAATTTCACCCTTGCGAGATCGATATCTAGGTTTATCTTCCGGTGACACTTGTATTCTAATGAAAGTTCCATCTAAAGCGCCTAGGCAATTCTAGAAATAATATCAAATATTATTAAATATATATTCACATTGTAATTAAACTTATAACTCAACTGTAGGGATATGTTTAACTACCTTAAACCATTTCCATCTATGATCTGTAGAGGTAGCTGGAACTGGTTCAGAATCTTTGAATAAATGATTTCGGAGTTTCAAAACAGCATTCGATACTATATTAAAGTATCGACTAATAGTTTCCCCCGACCTTTGAAAATTATTTTGAATGATCCTATTTTTTACGTGATGAGCAATAATATGTAAAAATATTGCTACTTGCTCATCAACAAGCATATTTCTTGTTGGCCTTAACCCTCCTATAGTTTGTAACATTGCACACAACTTCACAAAAGCATGTCGATTCATCCTAAGTTGAGATATGCATTTTTCATCACACGAATACACAGTTCGTAACATATATTCTCGAGACCCTAAAGTATTTATAATATAAGATTTCACTCGTTTTTTATTAGAACACAAAATTGTCAAGGTTGACATCATCATGATAAACAATAAACTCACAGAAGCACACATATCCAACCATACACGCAATACAGCTACACATCTTTTCATTCTTTCAGTACGAGTTATTAAACGCAATCGAGCCATAACTGCAAATTTAATTTAAAACTTACAATAACTTATACAGATTATAATAACATTACGGTAAAAAAAAATAAACAATAACATTGCTATGACAAAAAACAAAACCAAATAAACAATAACACTTTTCAGCAAAAAAAAAAAAAAAACAATAAACAATAAACTAAACTAAACTAAAAAAAAAAATAATAAACAATAAACAATAAACAATAAACTAAATTTTGTGATAATTACATTAATAATATAATAAAAAAAAAAAAAAAAAACAACATTAAACAAAACTGCTGCGGCTGCGGAACCCTCCGCGCCGCAGCAGTGTGTGTGTGTGTATATATATATATATATATATATATATATATATATATATATATATATATATATATATATATATATATATATATTACTGCTGCTGCGGCGAGGTCGCAGCAGTGTATATATATATATATAAATTACTGCTGCGGCTCGCCGCAGCAGTGTATATATATATATATATATATATATATATATATATATATATATATATATATATATATTAAATATATAATTAAATATTTAATTGGTAAAAAATAAAATTCTGAAAATTTACCTTTGATGTCGCAGAAAGATTTGCTTGATTTTGATGTTGATGATGCTTTAATTTGATCTGGTTGGAAAACTTGTTTGATTTTGATGTTGACGATGAAGAAATCGATGATGATGATGAAGGAATCGGGAAGGATAGAATGATACGTAGGGAGAGAACGGCGAGAAAGATAAGGTTAAAATTGAAAAAAAAAAATATTCTATTCCTGAGGACTTAGGAATAAGTTAATACCAGGGGGGGCCCTGGTATTAGCTATTACCTCATCTGAGGTAATAGCCTATTACTAGGAACAGTATTCCTAGTAATACACATTGTTACCAAACAGAAGAATAGGTCTGTTACTGGGAATGCTATGCCATTCCCAGTCTATTCCGTGAACCAAACGGACCATAAGAGTTAACAGGGAGACATTAGCTTAATGACAAGGTGTGTTTAATATTAGGGGTTTTGCTAGGGTTTGAATCCCACATAGGTTAAGATAGTTTTAGTCATTTAGTTTTGTTAAATAAGCAAAGTATGATTTGATTCACAGGTTCCTATGGTAGATTGGCTTATAAGTTGAGCCTAGCCTAAGGTTGGCTTTGCTTTTGGTTTGCTAAGCGAAGGAAGTAACCCATGTTTTACAAAACCTATTTTCTTTGATATATTGCGATTTCTTGATGTTCTTGATGTTCTTGAGTGATTATATGCATATTCTTGTGTTTATGCATGTTTAGAGCTTGTGCTTAGGGTTCAATAATGTTATTCTTTGGGTTATTCTATGCATTCAAGTCCCTATTATTGTTGATGTGAGTTTTGATGTGTTTGGACTTGAAATTGGGCAAGTTTGATTAATTCCCGAAGTGGGAAAACTCCCATTGGGTGTTGTTCCAGCGGGTAGTCGGCGGGGGATGAACCCCCACCTGACCACCCGCTGGAAGGGCGGTGTTTTCCGGCGGCCGGCCGGCGGGTAGATGACCACCCGCCGTTCCACCCGCTGGAACAGTAACGTTTTCCGGCGGGTGGACGACCACCCGCCGTTCCACCCGTTCGAACAGTAACGTTTTCCGGCGGGTGGTTGTCCACCCGCCGTACCACCCGCTGGTACCCGGCGCGCGGTGGTCGGTTGGCTTTCGTTTGGTCGATCCCCGTGTCCCGAAGTGTCTTCTTTGATGTTTTTAAGTCTAGAACGATGTCCTAAGTACCGTAATAGGATTTGTGAGTCTTGAATTATGCATGTCGTCTAAACCTGTATCTCGTTGGTTCAAAGTATGGTCTATGATGTTCCTTATGAGTCGTATGGTTGTCTTGATGTCACTTGTCGTTGTGAGTTTGTACGTATGTTGTACCCTTCCCTGATCATCCCTTGATGAAGCTATTGTTGAGTTTTGAATGTTGTGTTGATGTCCATGATGATGAATTAAAGCTGGCGGTAACGAGCTGCGTGCTAAAATTGGTGGTATGCACTGCGAGTGCTTATGTTATGGCACTGCGTGTGCTTATATTACTGTGCTGTGGTACCTATGTTATGGCACTGCGTGTGCTTATGTTATTGCGCTGCGGTGCAATTATGTTACGGCACTGCGTGTGCTTATGTTATGGTGCTGTGGTACCTATGTTATGGCACTGCGTGTGCTTATGTTATTGCGCTGCGGTGCAATTATGATTATGGCACTGCATGTGCTGAGATCGGCGGACAAGTAGGCGGAAAAGCAGGCGGGGAGCATTGCTCCGGAGGGATAAGGTTGGACTGGTGTACAGGTTGTCTCGGAGGTAAAAGTTGGAACTGATATAAGGATGGAGCGGTGTAAAGGTTGGAACTTGGTATAAGGTTGGAACATAGACGTGTCATGTGGTCATGGTTTGTATTCTTGTATCTTAATGTTGTCTTATCGTGTCAATGCTAATGATATGTCATGAGTCTGGTTATGTTGATGAGTGTATCCTCCTACGAGGCAATGTTTTGATTTTAAAGCTAGAGTTGTTAGGACTATATTTATGTATTCCCAAGTCTCAAAATGGTTTTCTTATATCTATATTTATTATTGTACTCAACGCGTGGGAGTGAGTTACTTAACATTATTCGCTAACGGTTGCTACACCGTATGTTTTTCAGGTACAGACTAGTTGTACGAGAGCGCGCTAGATGGAGCCGTGGTCCCTAGTCTTAGTTAGTATTAGCTTTAGTTTGACGGCCTGTGAGCCACGATGTTATACAAATGTTGTTTATGGATTGTGATTAGTTATTTAGTAGCCTGTGCATCTAAGTTCTCAGCTTAGATGTGGCATAATATCCCTCAACTATTATGTTTAGCTTCCGCTTTATTCGGTATTAATGATAGACTTATTTATATTTCGTAAGCTTAAAATGTTTTAAAATAGGCCGAAAGTCGGGGGTGTTACAACATCATTGGCAATAAATAATAAATTTAGATATGTAGTTTATAAATGTCATGACTGCATACTAATGGGTCATTAGACGCTAATATTTATTAGAATAAAGTTTCTGATAGATTTAATATTTCTGAAATGAGAGAAAATAAAAATTGTAACATGTATGGTATTGAATTACAAAGGTCTTTATATGACTTAAATAGTTGATAGTTGACCGAGTGTTTTTCCTCATGAAGAATGATTATATGCAAATAATATGTGTCATTATGTGCTCATTAAGAGTTGCTCATAGAGTTATTTATTTATTACCTCAGTTTATGTTTATGATATAAATACGATTGAAATGCATAAAGAGTTTGATGATATTAACTCATGCCTAAAGATGGAGCTTGAAATGAAAGATTTAGGGAAACCAAGTATTGTCTCGACCTGGAGATCGAGCATCTTCTTGAAGGAATTTTATAAATCAGTTAGTCTATCTCGAAAAATACCTTTGACATATTTTATATGAATAAGTATCATTTACTTATCATACTAATGATTATCCAATAATCTCTTGAAGTGGATAAGAAACTATTTACACTCGAAGCGGATAATGGGGATACCTTAAAGACTAAAAGTTCATTACTTCATTGTCGTTGGAGCATTACTATAGGACCATAAGTTCTATAATCACATCAGGCCTGATTTTGTATTTGCGGTGAAATTGCAAGCAACATTATTTAATGTTCCTCTTACAATGGAATAGTAGAATAATGTTTAGCACATCCTTTGTATTTTCAAGGTACAAAAGATTTTTAGCATTTATGCTAGAGACCAAGATATGATTTTGATAGGTTACTTGGGTACTGGCTATAAATAGTTTGATATGTCAAGTCCCAAACTGGTTATGTTATATTTTACTTTCAATGTCTTATATGAGGACAATAAAACTTTTGTTGCACAAATGATAAATGGGTATGTTTAAGAATATTTGACAAAGCATATATATTGACAAAATTCAGCTCATGTGAGTTCTAGAAGAGTCATGATATTATTATACAGAATATTCATTCTAGTGGCAATTTAGCATTATTCTAATATATAGCTGTGTGGATCACTATCCAAAAACACATAATGTACATGATTCTAATTCATAAAATATATTATTCTAACGCATAAAGTACATTATTTTAACTCATAAAATACATTATTTTACCCCAAAAAATTTATTATTCTAACACACAAAGTACATTGCTCTAACTCATAAAATACATTATCTTATCCTAAAAATTTTATTATTCTAAGTTTCTAACACATATAAAATATATTATTCTAACTCAGAAAATATATTATCTTATCCTAAAATGTTCATTATTCTAACATGTACACAGAACACATTAAAATAACAACGTTTTACACCATGGTCCACACAATTTGCCCCATAGTACAAGGTGGACGATATCCCATGATAATTTGCCTAAATTGACAACTCATTTTAAGTTGTCAAATTGGACTAGATTTGAATTAGGGAAAAGAGGCCTTAATATGCTATAAAAGTTTTGACCCAAATTTTCTGATATCAGGCCACGAGACGCAACCATCCAAGTTAACATACAAGAGCCCACCATGTAATTTGTGGCAAATTATTGTATGGACCATGGTCTACGCAATGTTACGTGGACCATAACAAAATTTACATTTTTAATATACTAAATGTATATTATTTTTGTACTGAATGTACATTATACAATATAATGTACACTCAGAACAAAAATAATGTACATCCCCTGAATATAATGTACATTATTTTTGTACTGAATATACATTATTTTTGTACTAAATGTACATTATTTTACAATAGACAAAATATGGTCCAAACAATAATGATTGTTCATTTGTGGCAATTTATATCCTGCACCACAGCGCGCGTTGCATTGTGCACCCAAATGCAAAACGACGTCATTTCAGATGTTTTTTTTTTTTTTTTTTTGAAATTTCGCTACCCAGTGTTTGGCGGTTAATTTTCCCTAAAAAAAATCTCATGTTCAAAAATGTACATAATGTTATACATGAATGTACATAATTGTATACATGAATGTACATAATTATATAACAAAATATACATACTGTTTTTTAAAACATAATACACATAATCTAACATAATACATAATAAACATAAACTTTTAACATAATACACATCAACTCTTAACATAATATACATCAATTTCCTTATTCGGATGTACATAATTGTATAAAAAAAAATGTACATAATTGTATAAAAAATGTACATAATAAAAAATACATAATTGTATCAACAAATATACATAATCACAACAACTTCCTACCGCGCCTCCTAAAACGATGTCGTTTTGGGAGGCGCGCGACGCACAATGCTACGCGCGCCGTGGTGTAGGATATAACGATTGGTCATTTGTAAAATGGGCAAGTTATTATGTGGAATATGATCCACACAGTATCGTGTGGGAGCGTTATGCTGTAGATACGTGTTCACCATGCGCATGATGAACACAGGAGTAATCTATAATTTCTATATTGTAGATTCATAATTTTATATCATTATCTGAAAAGTGATATAATATTGCATTTAAATTTATAATACATTGACTTTCAAAAAAAATTTATAATACATTGATTTTGTGGCAATCAAATTTGAATCTTTATTCAATTACAATACATAAATTTATATAATATCGATCAAAATATACGATATATCATAAAAGGTGTTAAAGAAAATAAAAATAAAAATAATAGGTATTTATAAAATATCTGTCCTAACAAAATAAATGTTTTAATTCTTAGCATGGAACTGATATTGTCTTTAAATTTATAGTATACTCTATTTTTGTAGGAGTTAATTCCAATAGAGGTCAATTGTCTTTGACTCTTTGGTGACAATTTTAAATTTAGTTTTAGACTATTGTTTTTGTCATTTAACACCTTAGACTATCATATTTTGGACACTTTTGGTCCTTTCGATAACTTTTCTGGTGAAATCCTATTTTGGGCAAAGATATTTTTATCTCTTCAATTTTATTTTTTATTTTTCCAATGAGTTAATTACAACGGAGGTCCCTTGTCTTTGGTGACAATTCCAAATTTAGTTCCAAACAATCGATTTTTCCATTTATTTAACAACATAGACTATCATATTTTGAACACTTTTGGTCCTTCCGATGACTTTCTCAGTTGAAACCCTATTTTATGCAACGCATTTTCGTCTCTTCAATTTCTTTTTTCCGGTTTTTTGTGCCATCCTAGTTTTTTTTTTTTTTTTTTTTTTTTTTTTTTTCTCTTCAGTCCTAGATTGCACCATCTCCTTCACCCCGATTCTTGTCTTCATCTCTTTCAACCCGACCCAAAATCGTCCTTTGTCAATGGCAATACCGAGGACGTGATGAGGACCTCCATGTGCGGGGAATCATTTTGCAACACAATTGGAAAGCTCAGGATGTCATCACCCGGTCGGCTTTAGTTTGACCGCTATTGTTTTAGTTCATGATTCTATGAATCATCTACTATAGCTATAGAGAAAAAAAAAAGGAAAAAGAAAAAGAAAGAAGCCTATTCTTTGTGATCATAAAATATCCTTTTCCAAAATAAGGTTTCACTGGAAAAAAGTCATCGGAAGGACCAAAAGTGTCCAAAATATAATAGTTTGGGTGTTAAATGACAAAAAAGATTGTCTAGGAATAAATTTAGAAATGCCACCAAAGATAAGGAACCTTCGCTGAAATTAACTCATTGAAAAAAAAATTGAAGAGATGAAAATATTGTTGCGTAAAATAGGGTTTCACAAGAAAATTCATTAGAAGGACCAAAAGTGTCCAAAATATGAAAATCTACGGTGTTAAATGACAAAATCGATAATCTGAAACTAAATTTGAAATTACCATCAGAGACAAGAGACCTCTACCCGCTGGAATTAACTCATTTTTGTGGCAACCAAATTTAATTTATTCTGAATTGGAATACATACATTTATTTAAGATCTTTAAAAATATATGATATATTATAAAATTTCTTGCAATAAAATTATATAATTAATAAGCATCAATATAAATAAGTGAAAATTTGTAAGGTACGGTGCATTTAATTTAGAGTTTTAATGAATTCTGTAAAATTTTTAAAATAAAAAAGTTTGTAAAAGTTAATAAAAGGTTATAAGAATTTGTGATATAAGATTTTTATGGAGTTGTACAAAATTTATAAAAATCTAGAAAGATTCTATGAAAGTTGTTTAAAATGTATAAAAATTCATCACATTTGTTTTAAATAAAAAAAAATCATCACTTTGAAAGTTTACAAAAATCATCATGGTTGAATATACCCCTAAATTTATATTGTTATTCTTGTTGTAGTTGAATATAATATAATTCATTGAAATTTCAAATTAAAACTTAGCTATATTTGATTGGGTGGAGAGAATGGTATTATTTGCATTTTGATGACTATTAGGAGTTGGACTTCGGAGAGGATTGAGTTTTTTCCCATTTTGGTCCCTTGACTATGGCTCATTCTCAATTTTGCATTCTGACTTATAATTGCACCCAATGTGGTTCCTTGACTTTTGAAAATTACCCCAAATTCGTCCTCCGTTACATTTTCCATCCTTTGGGCGTTAAATAGGAGGGCATTTTGGTCCTTTCATTGCCACCGCGCCTTCCCCAACTGCCATCCCCTTTACATATTCGTTTCTTCTTCACGGCTGAGCAAAAAAAACACCAAGAACCCTAGATTACTTTGATTTCTTCTTCCTCTCTTGCGTACGATGTCAACACAGTGGAGGCAAAACACCAAGGTTTCTTATTCATCGTCATCATCTTCGCCAAGACAGAGGTACCACTACGGCGATGCAATCCCTACGCGTATATGCAATTGTGGCAGCGAATGGAGCATTCAAACCTCTTGGAGTAGCGAAAATCCCGGGCGGAGGTTTTGGGTTTGTGTAAGGAGCATTTCAGGTTGAAATTTTTGTTACAAATTTCTCAATTATTACTTGTTGTAAGAATTTTTGAATTTGTTGATAGGATGGTGTCGGATGTGGATTCAAGGAATGGTTCGATCCTCCCATGTGTTCACGTGCGAAGAAGATTATTCCCGGCTTATTAAGAAGCATGAATAGAAAAGATGAGGAGATTGAGAGGTTAAAAGCAATGGCAGTGCCCTCTGTTGGTCGTGGAAGTAATTGTAATTGTAATTGTAATTGTGGCAAAAAAGGAGGCTTTAGGTTTAGGATTAAACCGTTTGTAGTAATTGTTGTAGCATTTAGTATGGTTTACTTGTACCACAAAGCTGTTGAAACTGGGAGTAATAGTTGTAGACTCCCTATAGCATGATGTGTACTTTGTTTGTTGTGGCACTTGTTTATGAATGGAAGTTTACTTTGCTGGAATTGTGTTTAGTTTTTAGAATGCAAATGAAATTGGAACTGGAACTTAGCAATAAGCAACTGTAAACAAGTGAACTGGAACAGGAACTTAGGAAATGAACTGGAACTTAGCAAATGAAAAGGCACTGGAAATGAAACTGGAAAATGTAAACAATATGCAACTGTAAACAAATGAACTGGAACTGGAACTTAGCAAAATGATAAACTTCATTAATGGTAGACTATTAAAAAAACAGAAGCTTTACAATCAGTTTACCCACAATCACCAAAAGACAATGCTAAAGGGAGTATTACCCACAATCAGTTTGCATTATCCAAAACAAGTAGAATTAGAACAATCCAAAACAACTACAATCAGTTTTCACATAAATTGAAGGCCTTATTCAATCTCGATTGGTTCGGAGGCTGTGTTCTTGAATTTCGTAGTCAAAGAAGACGAAGACCTTGTTTTATACTTCCTCCCTTGTGGCTGAGCAACTTTTTGTTTTTTCTTTGTTAAACCAAGGGTCTTTTGCCTTCTGAGAGGGGCAGGTGGAGGTGCAGTACTAACTTGCTCTTGTACAACAGTAACAACTTGATCTTGAACAGCAGTAACTTCCTCTTGAACAGCAGTAACTTCTTCTTGAACAGTAGGTAATGTCATCTCTTCATGTGCTTCAACCTCAATCTCTACTTGGTAATCATGTTGAACTAATTCTGAGCTTGCATCTTGAATAGGAATCTGTATGAAAGTAATCATGTTAGGTAAAACAAGCATTTTGTATGAAAGGTATGTTACTAAGTTAAAACTTACATCAAACATGGCTGCTGGTACATCAACCTCATCTGTTCTTGCATCTTGATTTGTTGTGCTGCTTTGTGGCTGGTTTCTTTGTGGTTGAGGGTTTCTTTGTGGCTGAGGGTTTCTCTACAAACATAAAACACATTAAGTAAATGTAATACATGGAAAAATTGTAACTAAAACTAGAATGTAATGGTATACTTCTGCTCTGGAATCTTGTGCCTGAGGGTTTCTTTGTGCCTGAGGGTTTCTCTACAAGAGTAACAACTTACAAGTTAATGTAATACATGCAAAAAATTATAACTAAAACTAGAATGTAATGTAATACTTATAGGTTTCAGTGGGCATCTCCTACTATTGTGGCCTCTTTGTTTACAGAATGTGCAATGTAATACCACATGACTTCTAGACATATGGACGCCATCCTTTGTGATTTTCTTTTTTTCCTTGGCTTCATCAGCTCCTCTCAACCTCAGTTTCCTTGGCCTCCTAGGTTTTGATTTGTATTCAGGTGGCAAGGGTGCTTCTAAAAGAGAATGAGGCCACTCATTTGGTCCAGCCATTGGATTAATGCCTAATTCATACACCTTCAAGTATGTTTCCACATTGTAGCAGTTATGTACATAGTCTAACACATTGTGTCTCTTCATCCAGATTGCACAAATGCCATGTCTGCAAGGGAGTCCAGTCAAATCCCATTTTCTGCATGAGCATGTTCTTCTGGCCAAATCTACAGTGTGTTGCTCACCTGAATATCGTCCTCACCTAGACTACGCAATTCTTCTTCACCATCATCTTCATAGTCAGGATCTTCTTCCACTTCAACCTCACCCTGAGCTTCATAATCAGAATCTCCTCCCACTTCAACCTCAGTTTCAGCTTCATAATCAGAATCTTCTCCCACTTCAACATCAGTCTCAGCTTCATTATTTAACCCTCCAATGTTGATCCACACTTCTACTTCCCTTTCCTTATCACTAAAATCAATTAAATCCCAGGCTTCACTATCTGAAATGACCTCAATTAAACCTTCACCCACAACAGTATATACCTTACATTCACTCATTGTGTAGCCTAACTCTATGACTTTGTCTTGTAAAGCCATAAACCCCCATTCATCAATATCCATGTAGTCAAAATAATCTACATGACCTCCGACATATGTTACTGGCTCAGTCATTAATATTTTACCACCATGCTTGAGCTTAAGTGTAAATCTATTTTCATCAATGTCATCTGAATGATTACAAAAACAAATTTTATTTTTACACACAGAAACTATAAACATGGATTATAAAACACATATACAATAGATAAGACTTGCACTTCAATATACAACAACAAAAAATCAACACAATGGTCCCCACACACTATATTTTACAAACAGAGACCAAACACTACTCTCCAGTGGTCCCCCCAGCACCCTATTATGCAAACATTTACACAGTTACCCAACAAAAAAGGCAAACACACATTTCTATATATTCTGTCTGATGGTCCCCTCCACAACCCATCGTTAATCAACCATATATACGCCTCACATTCACACTCAGACAATGTAACCACATATACACAAAGTAAGAAAGTGTTTCCACTACTGAAAGTACAAAGTAAAGGTGGAATACTACTGTAAACTTTGCAAAACACATGGAATATTTCAAAACGCAATACTGCACCCATAAATAAAAGTTTGCGTACCATATATTGGCAATGTAGCACTCCCAGACCTCCGGCGCCCCATCCAGACCTTCGGCGAGTCGTCGTAGTCTCCTTCTCCTTCGTCAATTTTCTCCTTCGTCAATTTTGTGAATTTTAGATTCTAGGGTTTGAGGTTTTTGCTAATTGCATAAAAGGGGTATAATCCGTGAATTTTAGGAGGGAATCGACAGTTGGGGAAGGCGCGGTGGCAATGAAAGGACCAAAATTCCCTCCTATTTAACGCCCAAAGGATGGAAAATGTAATGGAGGACGAATTTGGGGTAATTTTCAAAAGTCAAGGGACCACATTGGGTGCAATTATAAGTCGGAATGCAAAATTGAGAATGAGCCATAGTCAAGGGACCAAAATGGGAAAAAACTCGGAGAGGATTGGATGATCAACTTGTCCAAAATCCATTGATTGCTTTATGCTTCTAGACTATTAACATAAGGCAAAAGCTTGAATGAGACTTTCGCGCAAATTATGCTGGGCAATGGTGCACACGGTTGCAAAATGGCACCATTTTATTATGATGGAGTAACAGTGCCATTAGTAGCACCGTTTAACTCCACCAATTAAATAATAAATTTTTTTAATTTTATTATTATTATTATTATTATTATTATTATTATTATTATTATTATTATTATTATTATTATTATTATTATTATTATTATTATTATTTTATTTTACAAAAACTCCAATCGACGTGTAATTATGAATATATAGTTATGCAAGTCTGAATATATAGTTATGAAGTTATGGATATATAGTTGTGAAGTTATGTTTATATAGTTATGAAGTTATGGATATATAGTTATGAAGTTATGGATATATAGATTTGAAATTATGGATATATAGTTTTGAAATTATGGATGTGTAGTTATGCAATTATGGATATAGTTCTCTGTGAACAAGCACTTTAAGAATTCTGAATATGGAGTTATGTAATTATGAATGTCTAGTTGTGAAATTATGAATATATGGATATGAAATTATGAATGTGTAGTTATTATTTCTGAATGTTCTGTTGTCAAATTATGAATATATAGTTATGTAATTCTGGATATATAGTTATGAAATTATGAATATATCCTACTGTTTGAATACGAAAGGAAACCGCCTAACGCCGTTAATGACAATCCGAATGAGATTTAAAAAAATAAAATAAAAAAGAAACGACGTCGTTTTGCAACCGTGTGCACCATGCATGGTACACACGGTTGCACAGCATAACGATTGAGACTTTCGTGAGATGGGTCGGGTCAAGATGAAATGTAATACTTATACTAGTAAGTGTAATACTAATTAAATTAGGAATAAAATAGTTATTACTTATATGGGAAAATGTAATACTTTTGATAAAAAAAAAAGTAATACTTTTACATCAAAATGTAAAAGTATTACATTTTTCATCAAAAGTATTACAATTTGTTTTATAAGTGTAACATTACTTATAAGGGAAAATATAAATACTTTTGATGAAAAAAGTAATACTTTTACATCAAAATATAAAAGTATTACATTTCTCCTCAAAAGTATTACGTTTTCCCTTATAAGTAAAGGACATTTTATTCTTGATTTAGTATTACATTTGCATATTGACCTGATCCGTTCCGACATATCTCACGAATAAAGATTCGTAAGACGATCTCACAGAAATGTTACCCTTAACGTAATTTTCAATCAAATTCTATCAATGTTTGATATTGTGAATGTGCCTACACCAAATGAAAGAAAGTAAAAAATGTTGATTACCATTTCTTTATGTATTTATTGTAATTGGAGTTGCTATTTGATTCTATTTTGTAGTTGACTCTCTACTCACTTAATCTACATACATACAAACCTAATAAGAGCCAATAAAGTTAAGTTCCTAACAGGAATTAAAAATGTTGGTGTAATTATTTGTTAAAATAAATAATTTATATTATTTGATTTCAGTATTTTTTTATTATTTTTCCTACTTTACCCGACCTTTTATTATATCATTTACTTTTTTAAAATATCAATGCATTCTGTCAGTGTAAACTTTAGTAACTGAATATTCTGTTAACTATTTATAATTATTCTTTAACTTATTGATTTTCATAAGGAAGGTCTTAGGTTTAAACCCCATCCCAATCAATATAAAATTTGACATGAACTTTGGTCAATTAAATTTAGAGTATATATTCAACACACATGAGAAACTATGCCTATTATCATTGTCTTTTTGGGAAGGATGATTTTGTTCTATTTTTGAAGGTGCACTGCGCCAAGGCAATAAAATTGTAGTGAAGCAAACCAGGGGACACTAGATTAAATCAATAATTCATTTATGGTGGAAATGGCAACAAGAGAGGGGAAGCATGAATCACGCCAATTAACAGTGTTTTGTGTTGTAAAAATTATGTTAGGGTACTATCCAGTGAGTGTGTTTCCCTCTAAAACTGTTATTGCACCAGTTAATTTTATGAAAAATTATACCACAGGTCATAGTTATACATTCTTGAAATATTTACTTTTATGAAAAATTTGATAATCTTGCATTGATATATGCCAGGATACCAAATGATACTTTGATAAATTCTGAAACATTAATTTAAAAATATACATTGAGCATTAGACTATTCGCGCAATGCGCGTGTTGTAATTAGTTCTTTGATAAGTGTTATAATCTTCGCCTACATGTACTGATCAAAGGTATTAAGGAAATATACATATTATTGTGACAAAAGGTGGAGGCCATCTTAGCCACCCCACACATGACGGTCCGACATAATTGTGGAGCGGTAAGTCATGTGACTCACTGACAAGATTGTACGTGGAGAAGTAAATCATGGTAACTCTCTGATGATCAATAAAGACTAAATATTTGTTCATTGTGCACAAAGAGCCTCCTCATTTGTATCAATGTTCTCATACTGTCATTGGTGAGATTTAATCCCCTAATCCTTAGTCTCTTGTGACAAATTTTACCTCGGTGACTGGTTCAACTATCAAATATTATTGTATTATTTTGTCTTTCCACTTCCTTCCACTCTAATCTCTCTCTCCCCGTCCCTTCTATATTTCTATTCTACTCCAATCTTCCACATATCATCTACTTCATTTATTTAATTTTTTGTTTTTACTCAAACTGAAAGCAATCCATACCATTAGTCCAAGTGTATGCTACACATAGTCTCAAAGATTACATATCATAGGAGCTGCAAATAAGATGCAATTTAAGTGACATTATACCTAGCTAGATTTGATATTCCTTTAAGCCATCATCATGAGTTTGTAAAAATGAGGCAACCTATTCTTTTATGAGGAGACAAGGTTTAAAGAAAGACTAGCGTAGTTGACTAAACAATAAGGTAACCCTATCTAGCTAATGTCCCACTTGACCTAATTTCCTCATTTCTATCACCTCATTTTAAATAAAAAGTTGCATAGCATTTCACAAGTTTCTCATTCAATATAATTTGACTTCACCTCGATTGAGGAGATCGGAATGACTTTCGGAAAGTTCTGTTTCAATTTGAGAGGATCAGAGCTTATTAACATTTGCACGCAAGTTAGGTCAAAAGTAGTGTGGTGTAATATATCTTTTGCTTTTCTATCTATACGTACCACAGCTTATTACGTCAAATCTATTTTATTAAATTTTATTTTAATTATAACTTGTAGTATTTAACGAAGGTCCATAATCAGGTGAGAACCATGCCCCATATGAAAATTTACGGATAAATTCGAACTATTGATGTAGTAGATATAACGGTTGAAAATAAACAAAACTTTGTATGAAGTAATATTTATGAAAATGACCCCGCTCATTTTAAAAATTTATAATCTATATATATATAAAAGTAAAATCCTCCTATTTCATTTTCCCGCCCAAACGTTTGTAGTAAAAGTTATTTGGTAACCAAATGTAAAATAGAAATTAATTAAAATTTATTAATTGATAATATTGTTTCCATATTCACGTATTAACCTAATTGGTAAATCTATTAATTGATAATATTTTTTCCTTATATTCATTTATTCATTCTTTTATATTGAGTAATTATATATAGAGATATAGATATGTATACTAACATACAACTATTACGGCTTCAATGTTTATTCTTGCCCAGGATATTTCTCCATTGAAGACTTGCAGAGCTATTAGACTGCAATTGGTGCGCTCCTATATGAAGTCACATAGAAAAAGGGGAGTGAATCCATAAAATCTAGAGAGTGCATGTTTCACGATCAAGAGGTATTTTTTTTTTTCAATTTTGATTTTTTATACGACTCCAATGTTTATTCGTGCCTAGGATATTTCTCCATTGAAGACTTTCAGAGCTATTAGATGGTGATTGGTGTGCACCTATATGAAGTCCCATAGAGAAAAAAGGGAATGATTTCATAAAATCTAGAGAGTGCATATTTTCCTATCAAATGGTATTTTTTTTCGATTTTGCTTTTTTCTAGAACTCGTGTTGTATATGAAATTGGGAAAAAGATGT